GTTATCGAGATCTTGATAAGAACATTTGAACTGTAACCGTGACATTTGTAATGTTTAATATTGATGAACCTGTCGTCTACGTAGCATATATAAAACGAAACCCGATTCTACGAAAAAATATAAATTAAAATCAATTATAAAACAATAAAATACGAACGGGCACCGCCGGTTAGCAACAAACCGGCAGTGTTGTCGTAACCATCACTGCCGGTTAGCTCAACACTGTCGGTTTTAACCAAGAACCGACACTGATGTTTACGACAACACTGCCGGTTTGATCCATGAACCGACACTGATATTTACTACAACACTGCCGGTTTGAACCATGAACCGACAGTGTAGGCTTGCTCAACACTGCTGGCTTGAGCCAAGAACCGACACTCTTGAAGCAACCGTCACTATCGGTTGACACTACAAACTGACAGTGTTGTTCAACTAGATACTGTCGGATGGAGCCAGAAACCGACACTATTTCCTGTAGATCAGTGTTGGTTTTTAAGGACCGGCAGTGATGTCAACCCCCCATCACTGCCGGTATGCCACCGTCGGTTCAAAATTCGACAGTGAAGTGGGTTTTTGAATCGGTAGTGATGTCTAGATCTGGAGTAGTGCTGCCCAACTTTGCTTATTTCTTTCTCCGTTGTTTTTTGGCTCATCTCTACCCTTTTTCCGTTTCCATCGCATAAAAAGCATCTATATATAGGTTATATATATAATGATAATGAAGAGATGGCACACAAAGGGAGAGGGCATTTGTACATGCTGGTGACTCTGTACGTACTTAATAGAAGAACAACAGTGGCGATGCCAGGAATTTTGCGAAACCTGGGCGAGACACAACGCCATACTAAGAAAGTATTTGGCGGAGCTCTGGCTCTGGCACTGTCGTGTTATTGTAGCGCCAATGTAGCGGAGCCGGCGGAGCCCCAAGACGCTAGCTTCGGCGGCTCCTTGTGTTTACGGTCTTGTTCGACTTACCCTATATTCGGCTTGTTCGACTTCTTTTTTTAGCCGGAACAGTGTTTTTCTTTCACAACAATTTAGCCGGAACAGTGTTTTCAGCCAGTTTCAGCCAAGTTTCAGACCAGCGAACGGGGCCTACGTCGTATTCTGGAGGAGGAGCCCCTTTTTGCCAGCTACAGTTTTTATACAATGTTTCACAGTGCAAAATAGTGAACGGATGCAGGAGCCAGAGCCTCTCAGAACCAAAACAAACGGGGGCCTAATAATAGCAAGGTTTGGCAAAATAGTGCAGATATAATTATATATATAACGTGGAAGCAAAATTAGACAGCCACAATAGTTTTAATTCTAAAAAAATTGACATAATCACTAAGTGATAGAATCGGAGAAGCCTGCTTCCTGCCTAATATGTGTACGTAGCTAGCTGTCACTAAGACTTTTGAGCATTTGGGGCTAATAAGGTGTCATCAGTAGCAGCCAGCAGAGGAGCCCGACCATCAGCCCAGGGTGGCCGGGCCTTTGGCTCCGCCAGTGCGTGTGCATACACAGCACAGGCATGACCTCCCTTTTGCTTCTTTTCATCCATTGGAATTGGAACTCCCCAAGAAATAGCAGAGTGGATGTGCACGTGAGAGGATGATGCGGCAGTAAGGTACGTACATACTCCGTACAGATATACCTTCTCTCTCTGCACATTCAGTCAGTCACAGCAATGTGGGGACTGTGTATGTGTGTGAGAGAGTGATAGATGCATGGGGGCCCACCATGTCAGGATCAAGAGAAGCAGTAGTAGTGTGTAATCTTTGGATGATGACGCGATATATATTCTATTATCCTGCCTCGAGATCCGAGATGGAATATACGTACAGCAGTAAAAAAAACAAGCGGTGGATATGCATGATTGATCTTTTTGAAGCCTTTAAGGACAAACTCACAAACAAGGTCGGTTTTTGCCTGTGAAGGCCACTTTTGCGTGGACGTGGACGGTGAAACGTACGAAACACAAATGCATGCATTCCGTATGTAGTTGGACATGGTCCATGGATGGACGACGGTGGTGATGATATATACAAGCCTTTCTTGAAAGCTAAAACGTCTTGCTTTGATTGTGCATTCTTTCGGTGTGCTTCTTCCTATGTGGACTGCTAAATCTCACGGGACTTTTCTTAAAGCAAGCATCCGGAAGAAAAAGGTTTAAACTGGATGAACGATCATTAGAACGGTAATGCCACCTGTAGGCTCACTGCCCACGCCCATGCGTCCCCACATGCCCTGCCATCCACGCGTCGATCTATCCTCTTCCTCCCCCACGCCACTCATCCTGTTCACCTCCTCCCTCTTTCTCTGTTGTGGCTCTTTCTCTCTTTCTCCGCGGTGGCCCTCACAGATGCCTCATTGGTGGTGGTGCTTGCCCCTCGTAGCTCCCTCCCCATGCCGCGTTGCCTCATCGCCATCCGTGGTGGTGCTCGCAGTCGTCTCCCGCATGTCGCGTAGCCTCGTCGTCACCTACGGCCGTCCCTCCTCCGAGTGAGCTCGCCGGCATTGGTGACGCGGTCCTCCCTGCTCCGCGTCGCCCATGCCCCTGCTTAGCCACCTCACCTCCCTCGCACGCCCGCCTACCACCGCTCTTCCTCTACTGCTTCGTCGTCGCCGCCGCCCTGGTCCCTCACCCACCGCTAGTATCGTGGGCGACCTGACTCTTTTCACTCAAGATGGATGTGACAACGGTAAAGTCCAGATCTTTCATGTATTTATTTCATTTGTTTCAATTGTTCGTTTCTCTTGATGCGGATTTTGTTCACTTTTCTGGGATTTCTATTCTATTTTTTTGCTTGTCCGTCTCTATAGGATTTGTGATGTTTCAATGTTTGTTGGGATGGTTGATTTGAGATGTTAAGGTGGGAATCGGTGTTGCCATGGGGGTATCCTTCTTCTTCGCGGGCTGACTTCGTGAAGGCAACACTTTCATGTTGCAGCTGAATGAATTTGATGTTGCAGTAGCCTTGTTCTGATGTTGCAACAAATAATATTTCTTTGTTGCATTAGTATTTTTTTGTTCCATGAGTTGTTATCGGATGTTTCAATAGCTAAATTACAAGGTCTCCCTCTTACAGGAAAAAAGGGATTCCGATCGGATGTTGCGGCATGAAACATCTCTGTTTGTTCCGGAGGAATTCGTTTTTCTTAAAATCTCATGGGATCAAATGACGCTATTCTTATCATAATTTCTCATTGTTGCAAACAAAAACTTCTGAAGTTGCATCTCGCATTGCTCTGTGTTGCAAAGCCACTTTTGGTTGGATCACTTGTGACATTTGGATCCTCCAAGCCACCATGGCGTCCGCCGTTGAGCACACAGGCTCCACCATCATTGATCCATCCACCGTCTGCCGGATCCTTTGCCGCGCTCTCGGACGGTTGCACATCTTGAGCACGGGTGCGAGTCATGAGGCGAGTCCCTTCGCCTCTGCGTCGTAGGCAACATCCGCTGCCAATCTCGTCAGCTCAGGCGGCGCTGGCATCGATGGGAGGAGAAGCAACAGGGGAGAGGATAATGTTGTGTTTGCGAAACGAGAGCAGGAGAGAGGATAAAGACTGTGCTAGATCTATAGGAAGGAAGCGGCGTACAGATAAATATAATGTTTTAGCGGGAATTTGCACCATCCAATGCTAAGTCCGTTATGAAAAGGTGCGAAAATCTGTCATAGTGTCTTGTCTGAAAAGATTGTATCATAAATCTCCTTTATTTTCTCAAAGTCCGAGACGAGACCCCGTGAATTCACGATTATTTTTTTTGGTAAAAAAGTACATGGGGCGCTGGCTATGTTGAACAGCAAGTCTAATGAGTAATAACGAGTACTAAATGAGGGAGGTGCTTTATTTGTGAGCTTCTTTGGGTCTCAGGATGGAGGGAGCATTTGGGCTTCGACTCGGTAATAATGCAAAGATAGTGCTGCGACGCAAACAGGCCCTAAGCCCATGGGCTGCAAAGTAAGGCCTTGTCGACTGGTACGGTGGCCGTGAGCTTCAAAGTCCATCTCAATTTTTTATGAAATTTTCTAAGAATTAGTCAGATTTTAGAGTTTTTAAATGCATATTTTTACAAAAAAAAAATAGTTTGATAATTTTTGAAAATATATTTCTATATATTTTTTGGGAAAAAATATAATTGACTTCATACACTATTAGTCCGGTTTATCTCTCTCGTGGTTGACATGCATGGTGCCATGTGGATGTGGTGCTACATCAGCGAGATCGGTTTAAAAAAAACACTTAGAGTCGAAAAATTAGCTTTTCTGGTTGAATCGGATTTTTGTGATAGTAGAGGAAGGTCGAATGAACTTTTTCCTATATATTATGGGAGAAAACAAGATACAAATGTCTTCCAGCAAATCTAAAGGCTGCACATGTACAACCTAACTAGGGGATGGAAATGAAGACAAACAGGTCGGAAACCTCCTTAACCATTCCCATATGTGTATTTGACCATTGAAAACGAGAAAAGGACGACCAGGATAGCCGGGAACGACATAAATGAGATATGCGGGAATACAGAAACAAACAAATACGAATAGCAAATGAAAACTTAAGATAAGATTATAATATGGCTTATTGTGCCTATTTGACATGTTAGGAGCCTTGTTGAAGGGGAGATACAAGTATCCATAGCAGAGAACAGCATTTTATACAGGATAAAAAATATGGTTCTTTTATCCATCAACTTTTGTAGGGACAGACAACCTGTGGATTTGTCACGGGGTTGACTCCAATCCAAAATCCAAATCCACAACCTATCCTTATCATCGCTCCAGTGTGTGAACTCGTCGATGCTCTATAGCATTATTAGCACCGGCGCCTCCACGGCACTTTCACCTCGCCTGCTCGCCACACGTCCCCAGAAAGACACCCCAGCACGCACGCACCACGCGCCCGCGCCGGCGCGCCGCCGCACCAACACGCCCGGCCATCTTCTCCCCGCAGTTCAAGGCGGCCCCGAAGCTCCTACGACCTCCCGGGAAGGGCTGCGACGCTGCGGTATGTGGGAGCGGCACTACTGGGGCGGCGGCCGGCGGCCAAGCTGGGCGCCTGGAGGGGACGGAGCCGGCGCCGGCGGCGTGGTGGTGATGTTCGCGTGGCTGTCCAGCCAGGAGCGGCACGTGCGGTCGTACGTGGAGCTGTACGCGGCGCACGGGTGGGCGTGCCTCGTCTGCCACTCCGACTTCCTCACCCTGTACGGCCGTCCCGTCTATCTCGTCTCTTCCATCCTTTGCCAGAGACGAAAACCGTGAAATTATGCGATTAGGGAGTAAGAGGTTCTTAGTTCGTTCGCTCTGGCATGTATACGTTCTTGGATTTGCTGGAATCTGGGATTAGGAGGGGAGGCTTCAGATTCTTGTCTTCCAAATTACTACCTCCGTCTTGAAAAGAACTGTGTGCCACGAAAAGTGGTTGACGCTTGACTAAGTTTTTAATTCATAATATTCACAGTTACATCTTTAAATTAATTTATTATGAAAATAGATCTCGTAATTAATCTAATGGTATTTATTTGGTATCATAGATCTGGATACTTTTTATCTATAATTGATCAAACTTATGGTACTAAAATGTGACACTGTGCTTGAATTTCATTCTTTTGGGATGGAGGGAGTAGTCGTTGGCGGTATTTGTGGCCACGCAACTGATGGCTTGGCATGGATTCATGATTGCGTTTGATTAGCCGTTTCCAATCCAATTGATTCAGTTATAAATATGCGAAATTTCATACAGCTAGGTTGGGTAATTCTTGGGAAAGTGTGATGACAGATGTATCCTCTTGGGTTACTTTGTAGCAGGAACTTCTATTTTTGGTAGCATGGCTCCATAACTCAGTACAATTGAATCGATTACTTATTGTTTAATCACGTGCGTGTTACACTTACTTAAGCAGGTTTTTCCCTGAGAAGGCTGCCATGCTCGCAGACAGGGTGATTGGGGAGCTTGTCAAGGTATGCGTTTACCTCAATGCATTGTGATTTCAACCTGCTTGGTTCGTTTTCCATTTTGGATGAATGTTTAGGCGTGTCTATCTGTTGCAAGCATCACATGTTGCCATACCGCTCTGTGAAATCCAGGTGCTGAAGATTACACCTGTACCTGTGGTGTTTGCGTCATTTTCGGGAGGGCCAAAAGGGTGCACATACAAGGTTCTTCAGGTGAATACCCTTTAGCATAATAATCTCTCTTGTTGAAGGTTAGACTCTGTGGATCTCAATTTAAAGCTTTATTTGTTGACTGACAGCTAATCGAGAGAAGATGTGAAGGGCAACTAAGCCTAGTATGACCCTCTTTTCCTGTCTTCCCTCTTCCTATGAACTCATTGCTCATAGAAATTTTAGTTGAATCTTGTTTGGAAAATGGAAGAAGTCACATCCATATATTTGTGTATTTGAGATTGAGTTTACTCATTTTGAAGAGCTCTGTTTTCTTTCTTTTGGCTTCCTACAGGATGAGTACCAGCTTGTACGAGATTGTCTATGTGGACAAATGTATGATTCAAGCCCTGTGGATTTTGTCAGTGACTTAGGCACTCGCTTCCTCCTCGATCCAAGTGTCCTAAAGATGTCTGAACCTCCTCGTGTGTTGTCATGGATGACTAAGGGCATTGCCTCAGGTCTTGACATTCTTTTCATAAACAAATTTGAAGAACAACGTAAAGATTATTGGGAAACACTATACTCATCAGTGGTATGCCCCTCTATTGACTACATTGACTAAAAGCCTGAATGTTGATGAATGTACTTGTGAATGCCTGTAACCTTAGTCCATTGTACATGCAGCATTTTGGTCCAATACTAATACTCTGTTCAGAGGATGATCAGCTTGCTACATATTCAGTTGTTCAAAAGTTTGGCCAGCATCTGCTAGAGCTTGGTGGTGATGTGAACCTAATTAAATGGCATAGTTCTCCTCATGTAGGTATGTTCTCCGTTTTCTGTTACCTAACAGCAGTTTTAACCAGGAATTGTTTTGATCTTTACTCCATTTCAGTACTAGCCATTTTAATCATTGTGACTTCGTTGCTAAAGTTGTTGGCAAATTTACAAAACAGCATTCCACACTAGCTCCCTGTTTACCTCAGCCAACATACCTCTACGCAATAAATGCAAAGATTGGACTTGTTATTGATTACTTATCTTGGTTCACTAAAATAAAATGACAAGAACTATTCATTTGGTTTGGTTACTGACAACATCCTAAAAATGCGAGGGGAGGAGAATGCATAATGATGGCATAATGGAATTTGTTCCCACAATGCTGGACTTCTCAAGCAGTATTGTATCTGTAGAGTTCCAAAGCTCTCAACTGGAAAAGTAAAATTGGAGCATTCACCACAATTGTATTAGTGTACTGGTACTACTCCCATTAATATCCGAAAGTTGATTGAATTCAATATAATTAATTGAAAGTTGCCATATAATCTAATAGAAGGATTTGAGTCAGTAACCAACCAGATAACTTCTTTTATGCTGGTGTTCTGAAAATTTCTCTTATTGCTGAGCATTTGTTAGCATGATCTGAATCAATTTGAGATATCCGTTCTCATTCACAATTTTCTCTAGATTAAACACAACCTTTTTAAGGTAAAACATGTATTGTGTGCAAGTGCTTGCACACATTGCCAGAATTGGTTATATTGCCACCTGCGAAGCAGGTAGCTTCTAGTTTTAATGGGAAAATCTTCTCCAAAAAAGGGAAAAAAAAGTTTTCAGTGGTGATATAAGGAAAGGCTTGTCCCAGCGCTACTAAAAGGTCATGGTAAAGCCATCATGTATTTTGCTTTTGCATGGAGCTCATTTTCATCAATCCAAATGGAATGATAAGGTTTGGATAAACATTGGACCTTGTGTGCAGAATTTTGAGCTGATTATATAAAGCTTGGCATCCATTTCTTTATGTATTTCCTCTCATCTGAAATCAACATTAAGAAGCCCTATGATATTTTTGATGCACTTTCTTACAAGTTTCTTAAGACTAAATGGTAAAGAATCTTGTGCATGCTGTTCCCTAAATCCGTCAATATCTGGAAAATCTAGTCTTGTGTGGCTGTACAGGACGTCAAGTCACCAACACAATGAGAACACAGAATCTAGATCATTAAACTAGTTCATGACCCACGTTGTAATATAAGAGCTCCTTGCAAGAGTTTGTTATTATTGGTGTTGTCATCAAATACGTTAATCTTAATTTTTCTTAGATTTAGAAAGGATGGCAAGAGATTTTCCTTAATTTTGTTAGAACAAAGACGACAGTAACTAGGCAACACTTACAACACACATAAACCCACCCTGCCCTGAACAGGGGCCCAAGAAAAAAACAGCAACAGATGACAGATCAACCACCAAAAGAGACAGAAAAAAATCACACATCGTGGAGCAAACTCGACATAGCTAAACTATATTGATAAACCAACTCCTTGATTAAAAAGCAACTTCCAGAGGCTCCTTTGTGAGCTGCTGAAAGGTCCTACGATTGCACTCATTCCAGATGTTCCACCAGAAGAATATGACCATGCCATCAAAATATCTCCTCACAGCTTTAACAATCTTTGCTCTACATCTGTGCCACCTGCATCTCTGCACCGGAGAGGTTCCTCCAATGTAGCAAGGTTTCCCATACCTGTTGTGTAAATAGGCAATTTTTGCACAAATGGATGGAAGTCTCTGGTAAAGTGTTACGCAATATTCAAATATTTGGCCAGACCTTTTTCTGCAGATTTAGCAGTCAATATCTTCTGATGCAATAACGTCAGTGGAAAAACAGCATTTTGGTTCTCCTCTTGTCCACCAAATTGGACTGATCTTGAGTTTATTTGAATCCCCCATGAATTGTATCAAATGCACTCCGTTCTGTCAGATGCACTGTGGGTCGTGTATACTCCATCAGATGTCCATCACCAGCTTATTTGATCTTTAGTCTCTAAATCACTTTGGGTCCTTCCTGTTAAAATTGCAGGATCATTAGATGTAGATCTAGGGGTGTTGACTTGACTAGAATAGGATAAACATGCCCTAGAACATGGACTACAAGATCCAAGAGGGAGAGGGGAGCAGAGGTACCGACCATCGGAGGGCTTGGTGGAGCTGGAACCGTCCATCGCGTCGGTAGAGAGGGCGGTGAAGAGGTGGCACTCCAGTGGCGGTGTAGCGGTGAAGTGGTCCAACGGCGACGGCGTCCCGGTGATGGTGCTTCCCGTCGCTGGCTGCGCCCCTCACTAGATCGGGTTAGGTTGTCGGTGGGTGTGGCGGCTCACGGTGAATCTCGTACTGAGAGCCGCCGGCCCCACCTCTCTTTATAGCGCAGTGCGACGGGGGCCCCACCAACCATGTAGGGTTGGGCGCCCCCAATCAAGGCGCGAGGTCAAGGCCCAACTCGGCCGTTGGGCCGAGCTGGAGAGATCAACATTAACACTTCCAATAGCTTCCCAGAGGAATACAGATTCCTCTGTCTGCTGGTGTTGAAATTGGCAGCGTGTGCCCGACTCAATGGTTGTTTTTTTCAGGCTTTTTTCACCAAGATTTTATTCGTGCTTGCCTTTTCAAATTGCAAATGGGCATTGTTTCTAGGGGCACTTCCTTCAATCCAACTTGAGAACCAGAACAGAGCCATATTCTCTTTCCCTGGCGTGACCAAAATTGAAGCATGAAACAGTTCCCTATCTGTCTTGTCACAATTCACAAGGGATGTCTAGTCCAGACCAAGTTCTTTCTTTGTTTTTCCACCTGAGTCACATCTAACTTAATCTTAAAGCCCTTGCGAAACATTCTAGATATAAGATACCGAAACCACCTCTTCCCGATTAGGCAATGCCCACCGCTAACCTTGTCAGGCTCTTCTCCTTTCCAGATGATTGCATGCCTGATCCCCTATCGCGAGGGATCTTAAAAATTCAGAAGGCATGCCTCATATTACACTTTCCCGATGTTGTGTACATAAAATTTGTTCATAGGGATAGATAACCTTGAGCCATATGAAACTGATGAGTATACACTTGTACGCTTTCTGCTTATTATCTCTCTCTCCACCACTTGTTATGCAGGTCACTATAAGTTCCATCCTGAGGAATACAGAGCTGCTGTGACAGAGCTACTAAAAAAAGCCTCGGTGCTCTACATGAGCAGAAGACAACTTAACGGATATGATGTGGGCACAAGTGAACACAGTGACACTCCTCCATCCACCTCCAATCTACCCAGAACTGATGCAAGCTCTGTTGGTAGGCTGAGACGAGCACCAATCGATCCAACCGACCAGTTTTTTCTACCGAGCTCCATGGAGTACCATGAAAGCAGTGAAGGACCGCAACCGGAGATGTTTAACATGCCAAGCCTGGAGAGCCTGAGTCTGCATGGGGTTCTGGGGCAGGTGCTGTATGATGTATGCGTCCCGAAGAATGTAGAAGGCTGGGACCTCAAGCCTTCCACATCGATGAATGGGAGGCACATCCATACTGCTGCGCCTCGGCATGGTACCTTCAATCCAATGAAATGTGTACGGCGCTCGAGATTGTGAAATTTTTGGCCGGAACATGTGGATGCATATAGGTGACTTGTGTGTACTATACGAGAGAATGCTGTTTGGTGGATGCTGGTGAAACTTGAGATAGCTAATTAGCTATCATCCATCGAATAAAAAGCGAAGCTTGATTTTGTATGTTTGCCAATGACGTCCTATATTTTTACCGAAGGGAATTTGTGCAGGCTTATATAGGATCTGGCCACTTTTTTTTTTACCTTTGCCTGTAAATGAAACCTCCTTGGCTTGGTAAACCAAAATGAAAAAAAAAACTAACCTAATTATCAATAGGACTCGTAAGGTGAGTCAATTGAAAAGAAGATTTTGAGCAGAACCATGTACAGAGTACTGAGTTTTGAGAGAATTCTGAGAAGCATCTTGGAAATAATGTTAATTTTGACAAAACTCTGACCAGAATCATGTAGTGTAGTAAAATCTAAGAGTTCATTGTGTCTTTGTTAATGGAAAACATATCATATTTCTGAACAAAATGTGTCTCAATCGCAGGATTTAATGTTTTAATGGATATTTTGTTGGATACGGTCGAAGCTGGACAACGAGGGTTGCAGCTATGTATGCAGACCTAAAGAGAAACTTTAGGCCTTAAGCCCTTAAGGGGCATACGTGCAAGGAAAAACAAGCATTAAGGGACCAGAGGGTGAATAGCTGCCCAAAAAAAAAGAGAGGCTGAGGGCATATATGCAAGCAAAAAACTAGCAGCCAAGGAGTGGCATGTGAATGTGCAAAGAGATTTTGGACCTTCATGCAGGACAACAGAAGTTGGGAGGGCCTGAAATGAATCTTTCAGGGGCATATGCGCAAGGGAAATCACAGTCAGGGGCGTACCTGTAAGACGGCCAGGGACCAGCGCGTAAAATCTCAAAAAAATTTGGACCATTTCTCGATTTGTGCGTGTCATCCTTGTCGTTCCAATTTTATCGGATGTCTCCGAAGAGACAGTACGGTTCCCACAGCTCGGCTTATAAGCTGGCGTTTGGGTCGTTCGCTGGTCGGTTTGGTACTAAATCCCAAGTTGGTCGCTCGTTCCCTTCCCCGCAAGCCATAGTGCTGATGCCCTTTTAGACTATTTCTCGATTTATGCGTGTCATTGTTTAGCGTGGCCCAGCTTTCATGGGAAACAGCAAAGTGGGCTTCGTGTTTGCCCTTGGGAAGATTGCAGGCCCTTTTGCACTTTGACGCATTATACAAGTGTACAATTAGCAGGTCTGCCAGGGTACTCCCGAGTCCTGAACTCCTGATAAGTGCGGCTCTCGCGAGTCATGATTCCACGATGAGTACTCCGAGTTTGATAACACTCGGCAAGCCAGCAGTTTGCTTGGCCCTAGAGTTTCTGTGCTGATGCCTGTGGGGCCGTAATGTCATATATCTCCTATATTATATTAGTATATGACCTTTCGGCTCTTACTAGTACCATCTACTAGCTCGTATTTATTTTCTTAGTCAGCTCCCAATCGCAACATTGATTGTTATGTTAAAATGCACGAACTGCTTAATTAATATATAGAACCTTAGTTGCCAAGATTCTGCTCTAGTTGACCAATGTGGGCCATGTTCGCTTGTCATATAATCCGTATCTTTCGGCTTGTTTTTTTCAGCCGGAACATTATTTTTTCCTCATAACAAATCAGCCGGAACAGTGTTTCGGCTTGTTTTTTCAGCGAAGCGAACCGGCCCGTGAGATGTCCTCTTTTGCTATGTCTTTTAAAAACGGTCATTAGCAGACATGTACTCTCTCCGTTTTCATTTGTACGTCGTATTAGTTTTATCTTAAGTCAAATGGTTGTATCTTTGACCATCAATTCTATAAAAATTATATCAGTTTGGCATAAGGTTTATGTTTTTAGATTCACTATGAGAAATATTTTTATATATAATCTATAATTTATTGTGAAACTATAAGAATTTTTTGACATGGATGAAGATAGTAATGTTTGATTTAATTAGTACAAGCTAATATGACATTAAGAAAACAGATGGAAGACACCATTTGCTTGCTGTTAGTTATAACTCCAGTTTCGTTTACAGGGCATTAGTGATTGTCATCAATATCCTTGACCAGCGGTTGCCGTGGACTCCCAGCTACCCTTCTTTTCTTCACAAGGGGCTAGTACACACTTGTTTCTTGTCCGGTTGGGATTCTTCACTAGGGCGCGTTTGGTTCGTTGGTGCCTGGCTCGCATCTGGGAACCGGGCTCGCTCCCGTAGGACAGGCTGTGCAGATGCAAGCTATTGTTGTTTGGTTGTTTGTACTATAGTGCCCGGCTGAGAAGAGAGAGCGTTTGGTTGCCTGCATGAACCCGTATCGCACGAAATAAAAAAAAAACAAGTGATCTTATAATATTTAACTTGTGTAACTGCACTCTAATAGTTTCAATTTTACTTCTAATATCTTAATCTATTTTAAAATACAATAATATCACTTAATACACGTTAATCACATGGTAATAATATCATTAACAGAACCCTGTGCTTCTTGGAAATAATGTTAATTTTGACAAAACTCTGACCAGGATCATGTAGTGTAGTAAAATCTGTGTCTTTGTAAATGGAAAACATATCATATTTCTGAACAAAATGTGTCCCAATCGCAGGATTTAATGTTTTAATGGATATTTTGTTGGATACGGTCGAAGCTGGACAACGAGGGGTGCAGCTATGTGTGCAGACCTATAGAGAAACTTTAGGCCTTAAGCCCTTAAGGGGGGCATACGGGCAAGGAAAAACAAGCATTCAGGGACCAGAGGGTGAATAGCTGCCCAAAAAAAAAAGAGAGGCTAAGGGCATATATGCAAGCAAAAAACTAGCGGCCAAGGAGTGGCATGTGAATGTGCAAAGAGATTTTGGACCTTCATGCAGGACAACAGAAGTTGGGAGGGCCTGAAATGAATCTTTCAGGGGCATATGCGCAAGGGAAATCACAGTCAGGGGCGTACCTGTAAGACGGCCAGGGACCAGCGCGTAAAATCTCAAAAAAATTTGGACCATTTCTCGATTTGTGCGTGTCATCCTTGCGCAGGGGCCATGCTAATCTTCTCTGTATCGTTCCAATTTTATCGGATGTCTCCAAAGAGACAGTACGGTTCCCACAGCTCGGCTTATAAGCTGGCGTTTGGGTCGTTCGCTGGTCGGTTTGGTACTAAATCCTAAGTTGGTCGCTCGTTCCCTTCCCCGCAAGCCATAGTGCTGATGCCCTTTTAGACTATTTCTCGATTTATGCGTGTCATTGTTTAGCGTGGCCCAGCTTTCATGGGAAACAGCAAAGTGGGCTTCGTATTTGCCCTTGGGAAGATTGCAGGCCCTTTTGCACTTTGACGCATTATACAAGTGTACAATTAGCAGGTCTGCCAGGGTACTCCCGAGTCCTGAACTCCTGATAAGTGCGGCTCTCGCGAGTCATGATTCCACGATGAGTACTCCGAGTTTGATAACACTCGGCAAGCCAGCAGTTTGCTTGGCCCTAGAGTTTCTGTGCTGATGCCTGTGGGGCCGTAATGTCATATATCTCCTATATTATATTAGTATATGACCTTTCGGCTCTTACTAGTACCATCTACTAGCTCGTATTTATTTTCTTAGTCAGCTCCCAATCGCAACATTGATTGTTATGTTAAAATGCACGAACTGCTTAATTAATATATAGAACCTTAGTTGCCAAGATTCTGCTCTAGTTGACCAATGTGGGCCATGTTCGCTTGTCATATAATTCGTATCTTTCGGCTTGTTTTTTTCAGCCGGAACATTATTTTTTCCTCATAACAAATCAGCCGGAACAGTGTTTCGGCTTGTTTTTTCAGCGAAGCGAACCGGCCCGTGAGATGTCCTCTTTTGCTATGTCTTTTAAAAACGGTCATTAGCAGACATGTACTCTCTCCGTTTTCATTTGTACGTCGTATTAGCTTTATCTTAAGTCAAATGGTTGTATCTTTGACCATCAATTCTATAAAAATTATATCAGTTTGTGAAAGTGCATCTAGCCCTTTATTAGGTTTTGGATGATTGAATGACAACGTGATTAAAGGTCTAACCCGTTTGCTAAGTGTGGACAGGTGATAGGTTATCTCACAGGTACTTAATGAAAGCCAAAATAATGTGTTGTTGTATAAACAATCTAGTTCAACCACAAGACAACAATGCAAATAGAATTCATGCTTAGGCTTATTTATTGTGGGATTTCCATATACTATGTAAAAGCAAGCTTGTGAGAATTAATTAATGAGACATAAGGGATTGCATATGGAATGGTCTCATATTTGAAGCTTGCTAAATTGAAATAAAAAAAGAGACAACAATACAAATGAATGGATGATTCAACACAAGATGTGACTTGATGGCTTGAGATGGTGAAGATAGCAAGGAAAGGCTTCGAGGTACTAAGCAAGGGTAAAGGGCAAGCGACGGCTTGGCGGCCGAAGAACCTAGCTAGGGTGAAGAAGAAAGTACTTGCATTTAGTTGAGGTACTAATCAAGCTACGATGGTCATATTGATGTGAAGGGTCAAATCACTATTGGAGTGTTTGATAGAAGTGACTTGATACATTTGGGATTATTCAAATTTGATGAATGGAATCAAGTCACGTGCTCAAGATGGCTATGCTCAAGTGAAAAAGATCTATATCAACATGTTGGCACCCTCACTTAATGAAGATTGGAATACACGGCTTCGGTTCAAAAAGAGCAACTCAAAAGGTTTAAATTTGTTATACTTTTAAATTTGAGTAAATAGGAATGCCGTACTATTAAGAGGGATGCATCATGTTGATAGATAATGTTTCATAAGTGCTCAAGCCAACCCAAGTGAGTTTTGAGTATTTGAGCGACAAAAGAGCTAACTTTATTTTTGCTGGTCTGGCTATACCAGATGTGTCCGGTATGCATACCGGACGTGTCCGGTATTTGCCCAGTAACTGTAAAAGTGTTGTTCTCGGGTTGGTTCGTTAGGAGTTCCGACGTATGTCGGGAGTTCCGACGGTCGGAAG